AGAGAACAATACAGATACATATATGACAAGAAGAGAAACTACCCATAGCAGAAGAATAGAGAACGAATATATATATGACTATTATACAATTGTCTCTTATGGCACGTCTTTAATATGTGCCATAACATATGGAAAGCCACGTTCAATTACCGTTAGCTCATCGTAAACAAAAGACGTATCCTTCGATTTTGACTTTGAGAATACAGTCTTCCTCAGGCACCTTTCTAATGCGGGTGTCTTTTCATTGAATCTTTGCTTGAAAAGATTTCTAATTCTATGCAAAATTCAAAGCTAGTTTTAGCTTTTTCCTTCATCGTGAATAAATGTAGTAATTACTTTTGTGTGATAGTTTAGTGTAATACAATCCCGAAAAGAAAAGGTATCGATCATATTACTGATTAGAAAACTATTATCCATTTCTTATAGTATAGGAATAAGTTGCTGCTCGAGTTAAAAAAGATCCTTGTGCAGTATAAATAAGATGTAAAAATAATTTCGTGACGTTTCGCTGTAAACTTCAACTATTCCACATATTCTCTCTATGTCACGAACATACGTCAAAAGGTTCACGGACCTCCTTATTTCAAAAATGATTTTGAAGCTCTACAATGATTCTGAATCTACACAGTAAATTCAGCTCTATGTTCCCTTATCTAAAGAGATCTCATTTTCTAGTCTAAAAAAGTACCTTATATAACAGATACTCTTTTACGTCTCGTTTAAAATGAGAAAAAACGTTCGAATCGTCAATCATACACGTGGCGAGAGTATATGTATACGTTTATATTACGTGGATAAGCACGTGAAGTAATCTATCCTTTTCGAACATTTTGAAGAAACATGATTGTTTGATACCCAGCATGATTCGATGGCAGATTCTTGCAAGTACATCCAGGTTTTTTGTCAAATCTGAGGGTAAAACCAAGGTTTCGCAGCCGTATAGTAGCATGGACACACATGTGACATTGAAAAGTCGGGTCTTGATTTTCACCATTAGTTTGGGTGATCTCAGTATTGACTTGAGCTTCCTAAATGTGACCCAGCAAGTGCAGTTCTCGCTTTGACGTCTTTTTTAGTGGATTCCATGAAAGAACTCAGGTATTTGAATTCCACAACGATGGCAATGTTTTGGCCATTGATGGTGAGGTTTGCAGGTGGTGTGACTGTATTGTTGGCTAGGTTGAGGTGCATTTGTTCGGTCTTATCAACATTAATTTCTAAGCCAACTTTTCCAGCGTTAATTCCTAACGCATCTACTTGTTCTTAGGTTCTGGTTGGATCGTTTTCGAGTAGAGCAATGTCATCCGCGAAGGCAATATCGCTGATTTTGCGTTCAGGTTGAGATGTTGTGCTACGCAAGGTGCGTTGGCCAGGTGTCTTCTGTTTGGCGCCGGTGTGTGTGATGTATCCAAAATCACGTGCAGAGAGTTTGGAGATGTAGTCTGTCACGATTATGAACAAGAACGGTGCTAAGACGTCACCTTGCAGTACTTCTGTTGTAATCTTGAATTGCTCTGAAAGTTGACCTTCGATATACACTCGCCTAGTTGAATTATCGCAGAGGACCCTAACTGCTAGGACAATGTTTTCCGGGATTCTGTAATGTCGCAGTACTACAAACATCATTTCTCTGTCGATAGAATCAAATGCCTTCTTGAAATCGATGAATGTTATGTATAATGGATTGTTGTCGATGTACGCTCCATCCATTATTCTTCTCAGGATATGGATTTGTTGGTTGCAGTTGCGACCGGCCCTAAAGCCCGCTTGGTTCAGAATTTTGTCGATTGGTTCGCCAATTCGATTTAAAAGTACACGGTTATAAACTTTAGCTGCTATAGACATCAGGCATGCCCCTGTAATTGGTCATGAGTTGTTAAGAAATAAAGTGCCTTCGATAACATGCACTGGTTTTCGTCTCATTCAAAATTTGAAAAAAACACTGATATCGTCAATCATACACGTGGTGAGAGTATATATAATACGTTTATAGGAAGCATGTTTCTTCAAAATGTTCGAAAAGGATAGATTACTTCACGTGCTTATCCACGTAATATAAACGTATACATATACTCTCGCCACGTGTATGATTGACGATTCGAACGTTTTTTCTCATTTTAAACGAGACGTAAAAGAGTATCTGTTATATAAGGTACTTTTTTAGACTAGAAAATGAGATCTCTTTAGATAAGGGAACATAGAGCTGAATTTACTGTGTACATCCTCTGAATTTACTAGCTGACTCGCTTTTTATACTGATTTTTCCTTTTGAGATAAAAATTATAACAAGATCAAAGCATTGTCTTCGCATTCAAATTTGATTGCACTATGTTCTCGAAGAAAAGTCCGAGTAAAACATAGTGCAATTGTAGATAACAAAACGATGACTGGAAAAATGTGGAACTAGTACGTACCAGTGCAACATAGCATGCCGTCCGCACTGGTACTGCCGGGCTTTTTTCAGTACTATACTACGATTTTTCTGTAGGAGATTCGATCATGTTTCTTATAAAAACTTTTCTAAAAATCCTCCATATCCCTTCGACGGGGGGCAGATAATATTGGATCCTGATAGTAAATACTGTGGACTATCTTGCTTAGTTCAATATCGACTTTTTATTAAAAAAGTATGTTTCTGACGGGGGAGCCTTAATAGGAATGGGATGAACACATAACGCCGAATGAATTAGTTAAAATTGCTATATATTATGCTAGCTGCTTCCTATCCGGAGTTATTCAACTTACAACCGACTCCATTGTTCATTGAAATGGCGAGTAGTTCATTTTAACTGCGAAACTGATGTAAATTAATTTACCACAACTGATTAAATTAGTTTGGTCTCTTAAATTGATGTGAAGTAATTTTGCATCTTTTTTTGAATCAGAAATTAGTTTGCATTAATTTAAAACTATTTAAAAGTTCCAATGGGTTGTCTTCTGTTACAGAGCACCTGAACCAAATATACAGCCTTTTTAAATCATATTGATAAGCTTCTAACTAACATAAAACAGGCAAAATATACAAATAATCTTGTTTTTCTTGATGATTTGTTTGCACAACATTAACCTTGAAGTAATAATAGCTTCATCCACACATGCCGGAGTTTTGCTAAATAGTTTTCTTACTAGTTTTACCATCAATAATAATGAGGACTTGTTCTCTCTTTTAATGGACACAAGTACATGACTTTCTTTCTTTCAATAAATAGCTTATAACAACTATAAATTGTTTTCAATATTCCACTCGTGTTGCTATTAACATTGACGGGAAAACTGTGAAATAACCGCTGAGAATTTTAAAAATGCTTGTGTTTTTAAAATTTTCAGCGGCTACTTCATAGTGCTTCCCTTCAATGCTAACCAAACCTACTACGAACATGTGAATAAAGGTATATAATTGATTGGCTGTTTCCGTCTTATATAGAATCAGACATTAAATCCCTTCATATGGAAAATATCGCCTATTAAAAACACTACTTAATATAATACTGTGAGAGCATGTAAAAAATCATGACGCTATTTATATGTCTTCCATTAGCCTTATGGGCTAAAGTGCGTATGAGATTTATTGATTACTTTAAATTTTACATGTATTGACAAAGCTTTTACGCCCATAAAAATGATGTTTTCCATTTATACTGGCCTCGAATCATCAAATCAACACGTTTACTACGCTTGAAAAACGTTTTACTTAACATTTGTATAGATTTTGGGATAAAAATCATGAAACCAATATTTCGGTCTTGGCGGCGACATTCTCCTATATCCTCTCTACGTTTTCTGCAATAAGCTTCATTTAAACTATAGTTTGATACACAGAAACACAAAGCGGAACTGTGCACCCAAACTGCGATTTCTCATATATCGTAGTGAAAAAACTATCGTCATGCGTCAGAGTAGTCCATTGAAAGAATTTGTTCGTTCTTCTGCTCTTTTCTCATCACATATTACTCAGATTTTTTTTCCTACTTTGTTCTCTAACTATGATTTCATGACTCAGACGTTTGATTGTAGACATTGGACAAAACCCAATAATTTCGCGATTTTTTTCTAAAATACTTTTCTTACTTTAGACTATCCCCTTTTGTTCCTTGTACTACACCTATCGTACTTATCGTTCTATTATGCTGTTATTTTTTTCAATAGAAAAGCCATTATATTTTTTATACCCGACTGATGTCAGTTACTTCCTTAGTTGGAAAATTCCACAATATTTGTTTTGATTTTACGTATAATTTACGTTGAAAGACTGACTGCTTTCTAAACAATATATAATGAAAATTTTAGACAACATTATGTATAATGCCGTTAACTGGACTATGTTGAATGTGATCGATAATAACAACAGCTTAACAGCTATCGTTTTAATAATATTCAACCTTTGTGGTGCATTTACCATTTCATCTTAACAACAAGAATATTGACGGCATTATCGTATAACTTATGAATATTTATCTCGTAACATGCAACACATCTGATGAACAACAAGAAACAGTCTCTAGTATTGATCAGCCAACTGAATTACGAACGCCAGACATATATCATGTAAACAATCCGTTTAGCCTTTCTCAACCATCAAAAATATTAAATTTTAATGAAGACCAAACGAACAACTTAGAATTAAGAGCTGATTTAACCTTGTCGACTGATTCTATCAGTGACATTTCAGATGACGTTTTTGGAGATGAAACACTGTCGTTTATGGATGAATCATTTCCTTTATCTCCCATCTTACCAGTTTCACCATCAACGACTCAAATAAGTAATGCTCTCGTGGTAGAATCAACAGAATGGTTTATTGTCAATCCGCTAACAAACAAACGTCGCCGTCCTTTATTATACGAATTTTTACAAATAGTACTGGACGATCCTCGATACTGTGAGTATGCTTCGTATGCTAATAAAAATAAGGGCATATTCAAACTTCATAAACCAAATGAAATAGCTGCACTATGGAAAAATGCAAAGGGACGAAATGCAGCACATGATATGACGTATGACAAACTGGCACGAGCTCTACGATTTTATTATAAAAAAGGTTTTATGATGCAAACTCATGGTCATTATACATTCCAATTTGGACCAAAATCTGGTTTTGGCACTTTATGGAAACCGAAAGATTAATTTTAACTGTAGCATCTATTTTTGGAATTACTTTATTTTAAACATGGAAAACCTAGTATTAACAAACAACACAGATCAACACATGCTCAAGCTAAAAAATAGTCAACTTTTAATCAGTCAACACTTACTTTTTCGAGATAGTATTGCAGAAAAAGGTCATGAAAATCACCAGAATACATTTGATTTTTCATTTTTGTGTGTATGATTTTACGTTAATGGCACGTCCATTTAACTTATCGGATAAAATAAATGTACAAGGGATTTCGCGCCTCTAGGTGAATTCAAAAGAAGAATAAGAGCACAAGTTGGTCGCAGCTGGAAGATTGCTTGATAACTAAACGTTAAAGAGAGCTCTGAATGGTCTTTTGAAATATCGGTGGTGCTAGTGTCTTATGTATGTTTTTGGACTTAAAACAAAACTCTCTCACTTGTGATTAAAATACAACTCAGAACTGGGAGACATCTTATCTTGTTCAGCGATGTTTTCTCTAAACCCTGACATTATTGAAAGTACTTTTAGATTTGACGTTTTATCGAAAAGGCACAGTTAGTTAGTTTTTTAGGATTTAGGAGTTTCGAAAAAAAAAAGGGGATGAGTTTTTCGGTGCAATAAACACGTTTCAGTAGTTCTAACAGTAATTAGATGGAACATACATACTGTAGGAAAATTGCAAATAATGCACTGTATTCTCGTTTATTTGTCCTCGATTTGTCGTTACAACGAACTTCAGTCGATCAAATTCATGGCATAGTCATGTCAGAGGACTAATTGTTAGTTGTAACAAACTGTATCTTGTAGCTTATTCTAACGTAATGTAAATATTATGAAACATGTTCTTCTCAAAAACTACTAGGAAAAGGATGTAATAGGTACAATGTAATGATGTCTTTGCAGTAGATACGCGGCTTGGGGACATTACGGTCCCCTGCATTGTTGAAATTTCCAACAATTTTTTTTCGCAGATCACCTTCAAAAGCACATCACTAGACTGAGCCTTTTACGCTGATCATGAATATCGACATTAAATGAACGAAAATTAGATTTTAAATGATAAAAGTTAACTTTACAATTTTTTAATTTAGATTTTCTCACCTACGTACTTCGTATTAAAATTTTGAAAACAAATCCTTACATAAAGAACTAAATTCTCTTCTTCTGAATAATTACTTTTGAATCTATAACGTCTGGAATACAGTTTCACATCGAAGCTTAGTAAGGATGTAGGTGGCAGTCTATACGCTATTTAATAGCGTTGAAATTTTGTTTCAAGTGTTAGCGCGTGTGGAAAAATATTTAGTCATAGATTAGCCTGAAAACTTAGGAGCAAGGAATAAAACTGTTTTTATAGATTGAACGTAGGTAATAATAAAATCGATATAGATTTTGAATCCAGTCACCTTATTCTATCGATCAGAGAAGAAATTTTTCCATGTGGGCTCGAACTTTGCCAGAATGTTCTTCGGTATATACTACATGCATACAGATAGTACCAATTAATATAAATGTTCCTGGACTAAACAGTAGGTTTTTCATAAACTCTTGGTTTTTCAGATAAAATTCATTTTTCTCGGCTCAAAAACATTTTCAAAAGAACATCCGATCATATTCGGAATTAGTGCATGAAGCGTGAATCGAATGCTATACAACATCAAAGGTTTCTAAACAAAAACATTACTAGAAAAACCTGGATAAGGATCCCCTTGGAGGTTTTCTATCAAAAAATATATTTTTCGAAATAACCTTTTCTGTTAGGAAATTATTTTCTCCGGACCAAAAACCCAGTTTTTACTTTTTTTTTAATACGTAGGAAAATTGCAAATAATGCACTGTATTCTCAAGGAATCTCACTGTAAAAATCAAGGTCATGAAGAAAAATTGCCACTCCGTTACGAAGAAAAATAAAATTTTCTCCAGGAAAACATAATCTTTTCATATTTTTCTTTTTAGTAACAGATAGCACAAAGTGTCTTCTAAGTTACAAACCTTATTTCTTCGTTTTTTGACAAGGTAACTTGCTGAGAGGAACATTTGCAGAGAAAAAGCGTGGAAGGAACAGCCCCGAAATCTAGAAGTTACAAAATGTCACCCCATAACTCTGTCTATTTTCTCTGTAAAAATTGGACGAGTTGTATCCATGAGGTGACTTTTTTATCGTAGATACGGAAGGTAGAAAGACATAAAATGATGCAAGCATCAAGTCATAATCTATTTTACTTTCAGAGAAAAGTTATAATCAGTGTAGAAAAAGCGCCATCCGGTTACGCTTGCCGAAGCCGTACGAGCAAATAAATTTCAATATTTTATATTGTAATCGTAAATCGTTATCCACTCGAGTTAACTCGGATGTTATGAACGTTATCGGATATAATGGAATATCATCACCTTGCATCTTGAAAGTGGCATAACATCTACATAACAAAACTCATGGCCTATTTTTCATATGAGACTTTACTGTGCAAAGGGTATTGGAGTGATGTAACAACGGCATCGGTCTACCCTTATTTGCCAAAATTTTAAGTGATAAATAGACAATTTATGTTTTATACAAATCAGAAAGGCGCCAGTCTCAAATTTTTGTTTTAATATTCTAAAATAATTTTTTCTACAATTTTTTGATAGTTGTTAAAAATGTTATTAATTGTTCGTTTGTGTTTGTGTTTATTCTTTTTAAATTTTATTTTCTCTGCTGGTAAGAGAAAAAATCTTGATGAAAGCGGTTATGCAACAAATGATCTTTCTGAACAAATGCATGATTCTTCCTCAGCTTCACTTTCTGATTATGCTAACGACAATGACTGTAATGCCTATGAAACATCTGATTATGATCCAGAAAAACACGGTGAATCGACAGACAATGAAGCTCCACCATATATCGAGAAAGATGACAGCAGATATATAATCGATTCACATCCAGGTTAGTGATCAGTTATTAATAATACAATAGAATGTTAAGTCATTTTTTAAGGTGTAAGTGATGATGATCCATCCTATCCGATAACATTCATGACACCTGATATAACATGGATAGATGATGAATGGCCATTATTACGTAAAAAATTTAAACATATGGATGAGGATGAAGGTGAAACATTTGATCTTCGATGGCATGTTACTGATCGTAATAGTGGAAAGAAAAATAAATTAATCGGTATTCTTTTGGCAACATATGATCCGGATGATAAAAGCCGAAATTTTTTATATATTGATTATTTATTTGTTGCCACACGATATCGTAAAAAAGGCATTGGTATAAGATTAATGCGTCGTGCAGAAAACTATGCATGGGATATGAATGTGCCAGAAGTTCGTCTATCAGCAGTGGTAAAACATATTCATTACTATAAATTTACATGCGGTTATTTAAAAAGAGCAGCCCCTGGTTTTAGTGCCCAATTAAGAGTGAAGTATAATCCTCACAGACGGCCACAACCTCCAAAAGTTCAACCAATGAAACCACCAGTTCGATGGTAAAATGACATAATACTGTCAAGTATTTGTGAAAAAATATTCTTTCAAATGTACATAAAAAAAAACTAGCTGATTTTGATAAAAGCAAATATTGCCATAGGAAATGTTGAAATAAATTTCTTTTATTGAAAATGGACAAAAATTTTAACAGTCTGTTTTACAACAGATTT